CCTAACCCTAACCCTAACCCTAACCCTAACCCTAACCCTAACCCTAACCCTAACCCTAACCCTAACCCTAACCCTAACCCTCGGGTTAAAGTATATAGATCGAGGACAGTAGGGATCACATCATTATACTGGTCCATAAACTAATCTAAAGAGATTACCCGTCGATTAGGAGGGTAATTAAACCATCTACTAGAGGATGCCGAGCCAATAGGTATAGAAGTAACGCCCCGTCCCTGTTCGCCAGGGGTACGCACATATTACACAAGGCTACGAGGAGCGAATATACACTATATAAGGATAGTAGCTAGAGTCGTCAGATTATCCTGGTTCGGGCTATAGAGGACTCGCTCCATATCTCCCGGGCTAGGGTTCTAGTAATGAGTGTAGTGCTAAGGGTACGGATGATGACTATAGATTTAATGTTTATCTAGAAGGGATAGGGGTAGGCTAGGACGAAGAGGCGGCATATCGTGGATAATAGGGCGAGTCGCTGAGGATAAGCTATTCACCGACCTCGGTGTGACGCCAGATGATATCGATATAGTAATGGAGTGCGAGCGAGCTATAGGTAGGGTCCCGGAAGATGAACTACTAACTAGCCTTAGTGTAACACTAGATGACATAGATATAGGAATCGATTATAAGCGTGCGGTATAACCAGCAAAGGAAGATTATCGTATACCGTCGGTGCCTAGGCTATTATAGGGTAGTATAAAGGAAGAGAGTTATCGAGCACACTGCTAATACCGAAGAAGGTCATAACTACTAGGTACCCAGGGCCCTAAACTCCTATAGTTAATACCTCGACCCCTTAATAAACAAGAAGATCCATATAAGTAGCGAATACGGCGTTCAAGCTAATAAGTAATAGGCTGCTCCCTAGTTAGTAAGAGGCGTCGAAGAACATCAAGATCTAATATCGCAGGATCTAGACTTACAGATGATTCGGTAGCTATATCATGAGGTATACTTAGCAGAGACGGTAACACAAAAATATTTTAGGGCTCAGTCGACAACACGAAAGTATCGCTAGGCTCGGATAATAAGTCGCGGTTAATAGTAGCGGTAGAGCGATAGAAGTTTAGATAATCTAAGTCATCTAGGTTATTAGGGGGGACTTAGGTAGCTGCGGTATATATTAAGTAGGTAGGCTATTCCTAGGAGTATTAGACTTACTATCTATAGCTCGGAGTTCGTGATTAGGTATAACAACGTCATTTTTAGGAGGAAGGGCTTAGATAAATTAGTCCGCAAGGTTAATCGGCTATAGACTAAATACTATCTCGCCGAGAGCCAGTCGCTCATCACGGTAATAATGAGTTATGCTACTATATATACACTCGCGGCTCTTCTTTTTCGACAAGGCGTTACGAGCACGGGCTTCTTCTTCAGAATACTTTTTAGGCCGGCCCCTTAGAGCTATAGCGAGCTATCCTTATAAGTAATCAGTTAAACAATAAATTATCTACTCTAGTACGATTTATGCGTTTACTACTATAAAGAGTGTTTAAATAAGGAAAGGCGTTAACAGGATATAGCTTACGGGTACAGCAAAGAGAAGGAAATTAAAAAGGGAAAGGCTTTAAATACATGTATAGCTTATTAGCGTAGCGACCAGAAGAAAATCTAAAAGGGAAAGGTATTAATGAAGTATATAGCTTAATAAAGTACGAAGTAAATAGCTTACGAATACAGCGAAGGGGAGGAAATCAAATATAGAAGGGTATTAAATAAGTATATAGCTTACACTAGGGAACTGGTGACGAATTCAAGCGACACCCTTAGCGTCTTATCTTCCTTATCTAGGATAAGAACACCTTCAATTACCTTCGCATCAAGAAGTCTTACAATTATTAATTTAGTATAGTATCTCAAGTTATACAGATCAAGCAAGTACAGACAGGAAATCCGCAATATTACTCATGTAGACAGGAAATCCGTAATATTACTCGTACAGACAAGAAATCCGTAATATTACTCGTGCAGACAGGAAATCCGCAATATTACTCCGCGAGTAGCTTCAAGACCTTCACTACGCTAACCATAATCATCGGCGCCGATGTATCTCATACTTCTCCTAGCAGTCAACAGGCGTCGATCGCGGCCATCACGGTCTCCTTTACTCGATTTGCCGGCCGCGATGTTACTGTATACCAAAGCAATGGTTATCGCGTCGAGATGATCTTGCTAATAGGTGTGTGGCTTATTGGTGCAGCGAAGAGAAGAATACTAAATAAGGAA